CTCTCTCTCTCTCTCTCTCTCTCTCTCTCTCTCTCTCTCTCTCTCTCTCTCTCTCACAAAAGGGGGTCCGAAAGGGGGTCCGGAATCCCCCGACAGGTGAGTGCGCTGGGGGGGTCCAGCCCCCAACCGGTTGCCCTGCCCGGCCAGGCCGCCCAGGACCTCCCTCGGGCCCCTGCCGGTCACCCGGGCGGCCCGGATCCGCACTCAGAAGTCTAGTCCTTTGTTAGAAAAAAAAAAAAAAAAAAAGATTTTCCAGATCATCAGTTTTTCGGACATGGAATCCCTGCTGTAGTCTGCCAATGGGGATTTTGGCAATAGGCCCATTTTATTTTACTGTGAGGAGCTGCACCACATTGAGATCGAACAAGGGAAGTGCTGCATGTGCCAATGTAAGTAGCAGAGATTACCGTCCTCTTGATTGAGGTTTTTTCTTTTTCTTTTGGGGGATGTGGGATCCCTGTTGTACTTTGTTAATGGGGATTTTGATTCGTCCTTGTGTTGGTCAGCAAGTTTTTTTCAGGCCCTAGTATGAGAGGATTCATGAACTTTTTTTCTCGACTTCTCAGTATAAGCGAGCTGAGTTGCCACAGCCACATTAGGAGAGGATGTGGATGAGTGTGAGGAACAAGCCTTGGCAGTTAGACTGTCTTCAAACTTCAAAGTACTTGCCCTTGGCAGTTAGACTGTCTTCAAACTTCAAAGTACTTGCCGTTGAGCAGGTTGTTCGTTCTTAGCACATGTCTATGCACTGAAACGGGGCGCTTCACAGATGTGGCTTTTCTGGCTTTCCTCAGGTTGATCGTACTCACAGCTGAATCCGGAAGGAAGTCGTGAGCGAGAATCCCCAAGTCACATGGCATATGACCAATTTCCCAGACAGGAAAGCTTCCATAGAAGAGCACAGGATTAAGCGTCTGCCCATGTAACGCTCCAGCTGTCATACATTATCCCAGATGGATGTGCTTTGCTTTGGGGGAGGTCAGCATAGTGGGGGGGGAAACTTGCGTCAGAAGATCTGTCATTTTTAGCACCCAAAGTCTGTCTGCGCGATGCTCAGTTGCAAGTATTCGGAGTTTCCTTGGGGTTGGTCAAGCGTTGGGCTGATGTTTCTTGGTCCTTTTGAACCAACAGTACATCCGTAAAAGGAGATTGAGCATCTCCTGAAAAAAGTAGGAGGCCAAGATCCGCCGATTCCATTTATCGACGGTCCAGGGCCTTCAGATTTTTAGGAGAATCTCAATCTGCTTTTTCGGATGTACTGGTTGGTGGTTTCAGGTCCTCCTAGACATGTGGAATACAAGGTGAGTATGTACCTGCAATCAGACTCTTTTTGATATTGCTTTTCAATTTCACACCAATCGTGAAACGTGGAGTCCAGGTGAAAGAAAAAAGACGATTTCCTATTTGCCACCTTTTTTTTTTTTAGCTGATGTTTTGTGGAAGATGTGGAATCCCTTCCTTCCGTCCGTCCATCCGTCCGTCCTTCCTTCCTTCCTTTTGAAGTGTATTTCACATGGGAGAATTATGAAACCCAGCTCATGGACATGCCTGCCTGTTGAACTTTGCATTGAATGTCTGTACGGTGTTGTTTACCGACTGAGTCTTGTGGTTCATTGTTGGCTTTTTTTTTTCCGCTCAGCGCAAAGGGCACCCACAGATGTACGTTCGCTTGTCGGATTACTGCATGGGGGATGCTCTGTTGTCGCCAAGTACGCGGCAGAGGTTATAGAGGTTATGCGAAAATCAAAGGAGCAGGCCGGTGATTGTATTGCTGTTGAGAAGTTATTGGACGAAGATGATGACAATGAGATAGATGGGACTGAGAAGTTTGAAGCAGCAGACGAAGATGAGGATCACGAGTTTGATGTCCCGGATTGGGGGTTGGAATCATACAATAACGGAGAGGAGAGTGAGGAGGAAGGCGGTGAGGATAGTGCTGAGGAGGACACCGGCGGCTTACCATCAGCCGTGCGTAGGAGCGGAGGTGAGGAAACCGCGGCGGAACGGTCTTTGCGGGCTATTATGCTGCATGATCAAGGAGAGGAGGCAGAGACACCTATCAAGGGGGGAACAGCGCAGAGTGTGTCACAGCCTGCTGACCAGGAAGTTGGCAGTTGTGCTATGGAGAAACCAAAACAAGCGAGCAGCATGGAGGTTACTGTCGCTGGAGCTGGCGCTGGGAACGGTTATACATGTTCTGGGCAGGCTCCAAGCATGATAGTCAATGCAACTGAAGAGGTCAGGTGTTATGCTCAGGAGTCTGGAATACAGGTTGAACTCGTCAAACAGCAGGAGGGCAATGTAAATGAGACAGAGAGAAGGATTACATCCACAACATATGAAGTGGATCGACATATAGAACCGTCTATAACTGGGCCATCCGGTGAGATCTTGCCAATGGACATCAGTGAGGAGCAAACAGTCCGTGAAAGCTGCAAAGCAGCCGGTGGCGAAGCCGGGCAGTGCGTAGCATTGTCTTCGCATCAGAAGGCTCAAAGGTTGGCTTTGCCCACAACGGACTCCCGTGAGAGCGAAATTTGTGCGGCCAATCCTGATGGTGCGGGTATGAGAGTACCACATCCATCCACTGATTTAGACTGGGAAAGAAAAAGAACATCTGGACGCGCTCAGAATGCCTCACCATCTGTGAAAACTGAGGTTGTGCGGCAAGTGAAAGCCGTCTCAGCGAAGGTGATGGCTGTGAAGAAGGGAGGCCTGCTTGGGTCCATGCTAGGAATGTCCTCAAAGAGTACCATGAAGACCGGGCAATCGCAAACGCGGAAGGACGTCGCTGTACATGCAGAGGTGAGGCAAGTTACTGTGTTTTTTCCTTCTTCCCCCTCCCCCCCCCCCCCCCCCCCCCCCCCCCCCCCCCCCCTCTTATTGTTGTTATAGTCGTATCCAAGAGAACTCCTGATAATCGCTGTCAAGAAGACCACCTACCTGCCCTCTTTCCAAAGTCTCCCCCTCTTAATAAGTGCTTGCCGCTAACGTGATTGTTTGTCTCTCTCTCCCTTCTCAAGGAGGGGTAGCCATAACTATAGAACATGATTTATGGCAATCCAATTAAAGTCTGAGAACTGAATTTGAACCCTTCACCTGTTGATTTACAGTGAAATGTGCGTACAGTTCCACCACCATGCGTGTGCAGGTCACTGTGACAGTCGCCATGCTGCACTGTCTGTCTCGACTCTTTTTTTTTTTTTTGGTTGAAAATGTCTGGCTTACGTCTAGTCCCTGTTGATCTGTTGTGTATGCTTTCTGCTCCATTGAAAGTTAGGGCGTACTGACACTGGCACCATTTAAATGTATCAGACCGTATTTACAGCTGGACCTGTATGTACCTGGCCGCAGTTACGTCCAGAGAAAAATGGAAAAAATCCAGTGTGAGTATGCTCTTAGTGTTTCCATTTCGGATGTGATTGTCACCACCTATTTATGGCCTTGGGTGAGGCCAAAAAGAACAAATATAAAAGAACGAAAAACAAGAAAAGATGTTGGCTGAGGAATATAGTTTGTGGTTTATGGCAGCTTTACAGTGCCCTCAGGGTGTCTTGACTAAGAGGGAGAACTTCCTAGTCCTGATGGGCTCAGGGCATGCCGGCACGCAATGGCTCAACAAGTTTTCTCTTTCTGAAACTCAGTGTGTGTGCGCTCGGCAACTGAGTGTCGCTGAGATTGGGTAGCTGCTGTCTGTGGAAGACATTCAATGCACTGCAAGAACATGCCCTGGATAAGTGGGGCGAGGAGACGCAATTATTTCTGAAAGAGGGAAGTTTTCTTACATGTCCTGTTTCGTACGCTTGTTGTTTCCGCAGATCGGCGAGGAGCGGCAGCTAACAAAGGGCCATGCAGATCACATCGTGAAAGGTAGTGAAAAGTTAAACGTAGAGTCGGTGGCTGCTGTTTCTCCACGTCCTGATGCAATGATGCCCTGTGTGGCTGCCGAAGGACCAGAGATCATGACGGACATCCAACTTCATGCAAGCGAAAATCGAACCATTGAAGAAAGTAGGTCGGAAACTTCCAGCCAGCTTAGACGAAAGGAAAAGGCTGTGCCTGTTGCAGATGCAGGAGGGGCACCCAGCGAGCAAGAGCTGCAGGTATCTTTTTCTGGCATAAATGGCGGTCACGAAAACACAGGATCTCATCAGGACTATGAGGAGCTGAAATCTGAGCCAGCTTTGCCGCAGGCGATGATCAATGCTGGACACACAAGTCAAGAGAAGCCTGTAGTGGAGCCATGTCTATCCGGCGGTCCACTGTCATGTCACCAGTCTGAGGCGGCATGTAGGGATAACCCTTCTGAGAAGCTGAAAGGTGGTGCGGAAGCCGTTGACCTCCTGCCAGCTGTTGCATTAGGGGGGGGCATCGAACTGACTTCGTTGACAACAAAGGATAGGGTTAGTTTGAAGACAGATGTCGATGGTGCCCGCTGTGCTGTCGTGGCACAGTCAGAGCACAGAGAGTCAACGTATGCGAGGGAAGACGTAGCTTCATCCATAAAGCGCGAGGCTGAGGCGGAGGAGAGAAGAGGAGAAGGGACAGGTGGCGACGGGATCACCAAAGCCGTCATGACCAGCTCAGGTCCCAAGGAGTCGGTGCATTCGTTGGAAGGCCAGGCGCTACCTGCGCAGCCTCAACTGAAGGAGAGAAGAGGGACGGGAACGAAGGTAGCTGTAACGAAAAAAGGAGGATTGCTTGCTTCGATGCTTGGTCAGAAATCAGTGAAAAGAACAGTGCAGGTGCAGAAAATCGGCGGCGTGTCATTAGACCAGCAGGTGTGAAACTTTCCTTGTTCCTCATGCCTCTTAGCGGGTAATGCTTTTGCTATCCTCTAATTTTTTCTTCGGGTTTGTCCTCAAGTGACTAGCCAGCGCTCCAATGTGTGAGCGTACCTCATGCCATCTTTCGAAGGGATATCCTCGGGCAGCTCGTATGAGAAAGTAACAAGCCTGCCCCACTCCATGCTACCGTAAACCCATATGCCACACTCTTCATTTCTAGTGTATGGCTAACGGGATTTGAACCCATGAGGTGCAAATCCTGCTAGCCGTACACTAGAAATGAAGATTGTGGCATAAGCCCAAGTTCCAAAAACTGGTGAAACGTCGTAAAAAGGGGGAAACAATAAGGAGAAAGTCGATCAGCTGCCGCAATGACCACCTCATGTTGAACCACCGGTACTTCCGAAGCACTTTTCTCTGATGCTTGAAACGCGCTGTGCACCAAAGAAAATCCAAACTCGCGCAACTTTCTTCTGGCTGGGGCCGCCAGCCATTTTGCTCCAGTTCCCGAGCCCCGAAAGTCGTGGCGTGTTAACGTGAGGGCCCCGCGGCCGATGTATGGGCCAAGTACTGGTGGCTTAGTAGCTATCATAGTTGTACTTAAGTGTGCCACTTCAGCAACCTGACCTTTCTCTGAGCGTGTGTCAGTATGTGGGTATGGTATGCTTCATGCCTAAGGATGTGGGATGAAACCAGGTTGGCTGGTTGGCCTGTGGGTGAAACCCCGTTGGAAAAGCAGTCGCGCTGGACTTGAGCGGAGTGAGCGAGAACCGCCTGTGTGGTGACTGCCTGAGTGTGGTGTTCTGTGTGTATGCGTGTGAGTTGTAGGACACTACAGCCCTGCAGGGGTGGGGTGGATATCAGGACCGGCATGGATCCACTTTTGTACACTGTGCCATGGCTGTAGTGGTTAAGAAACTCGGCTCTTGAGGCTGAGGGCGCCGGTTTGAATCTGTGCGGGCACGGAGGAGGTCCGAGGCTGATAGAAGTTCAGATTAATAGGTGGTTGTGAAGAAGAGGATGTGCCGACCTGGGGGAAATTATAGAGAACCTGCATCTAAATAGGCATGCATCGTCTTCCGAGTTTGCAAAGAGTTCAGGGCGAAAATGTGTACCTTAGTTGCCATGCATCGTGTTGAGTTATTTTCAGCCAATCGCTTGCTGCTAACTTGACGAGTGACTGTTGTTTGCTGGCTACAGGTGAAGACTGATGCAACTGAGGCAGGGTCTCAATCGGATCAGCAAGCTGTCGCCATTGTCGCTCAACCAACCCCTGTTCCAAGTACAAGTGGTGTACCCCATGTTGCAGCGTCTGCAAGCAGGCTTTCTGATCAGCTGGCGCAGTCAGAGGACAGAGCAGAGTTATTTGCAAAGGAGGAAGAAGGTTCCGGTGGGAGACTTGGGGAAACCGACCGAAGTGATGGGCACATCAGGGCAGGGCAAGCAGAGGAGGATTCTGTTGCAGAGGAGGAGGATGTGTTATTGTTTGAGACTGTGGATGAAAGGCAAGAACAAGATGGAAGAAAACAAAGAAAGGGAGGAAGAGGAGGAGGAGGAGGAGGAGGAGGAGGAGAGTCGACCGATGTGGATGCTTTTGAAACCCTGAAGCATAATGTAGGTCCAGACGGGTTGCCATTGCCGATAGCACAGGTTTTCACAAAGCAGAAGAGAAAGAAGGAAATGCAACGAAGCGGGCAAATGAACCAGGAGGAGTCGGAAAGCAAATGGTGTAACCGGTCAAAGAAGTCAAGGTGTGAGGGAGGAGAAGACTGTGTTGCCGCCGATGGGCCGGTCAAATCGCCGGAAGATGTTGGAGCTCGTCCTTCCAAGGGACGACTGGATGCTACAGAGAGGGATAGCCCGGTCGCCGCCAAACAGAAATTGACACCCTTCAATTTTGAATCTGCGAAGATGGGGATGAACTTGAGCTTGCTGCAGAGGAAAGAGAGGAAGAATGAAGCTGATGCTGGTGGCGACAGGGATGGAGAGGAAGAGTCACAAGAACGGAGCACCACGGACGCGAAAGCTTCGGCCGCCGCCGGCAAGTGGTTCTTTGATCCCAACAGGGCAGCCAAAGTTGAATACGGCATCAAGGGTGGCAAAAGGAGTCAAGTCTTCCAGCGCTCAGGGAACCGCAGTGCGACTTTTCGCGACTGAGGTGAGAATTTTTGTCTTTTGGTAGAAAGGTTTGGTGCAGGGTACTTCTTTGAGTGCTGACTGTGGCTTTGCAATCCTTTTATTTTAACGGTGTTGTTACTGGCTGCCATCCGTCTAATTAGTTCATGGCTGTTCCCTGTGTGATATGTCCTCAGGCAGCAGTGCTTGGGCTGTTAGCACAGACAGGTAGGGGGGCTGCATCCTTGCTAGCACTGGCAACAAACAGACTCAACAGCTAGTACTGTTGAGATCAGATACTGTGATCTTCCGAGCGTTGTACGGTTCTGTACAAGGGATGTGAGTATAGTTTTGCTCGAGATTGTTTGACGTACGTCAGTTTTGAAATCAATTCATCAAGTATCAAGTAAGTTGTTTCGGCATTTAAATTCATTAACTGGTCAGCAACTGGCAGCAAGTAAACTTTTCCTGTGTTCACATAATTTGATTGAATGTCTGTGTGGTCATGTCCAGCATTTATTTTCTTTCATCCGTGCTAAGTGTGCAACCGTACAATTCTTGACATTATTCCACATGTTTCAGCGAGATTTGAACTCATGTTGCATTTGTTCAAACTGCACAGGTATGGGTTTGGTAGCATTCTGTACTTCTTGTTGCCATCAGGAATCTGCAGCGTTGGGTTAGTCATTCATAATAGATTATGTTGCCTCCAAGAATGAGTGTGACAGCAAGCCCAAGGGATGCTAGTATCTCCTCTTTGCACACGTTTCGGTATGGTAAATTATAGGCAAATGCACAGTAAAAATCTAAGCTACCAGAGTGGCCTGGGACAACTTGCCCGGCCGNAATAAAAAATAAAATGTATATATTTAATATTGATAAAGAATTTCGATGTGACTCTGAGGCAAAAGTTGTTCAGTTTATTTTTCTGCATAACGTTTCTTTTTTTTTTTTTTTTTTCGCTGGGACCTTCTGTGGTCCTTGCACCGGGCCGCCCGGGAAAACAAGGTGACCCGGGCAGCCCGGCTGGTAGGTTAGGTAATAATTGAATAATACGGAATAAAATTCAACATTTTTTTTTTTTTTTTTTTTAATGGTTACGATCTGAACGTCAGGATAGCAGTCCAGGCTGACTGGACCCGGAGGTCAGGGTGTTGAACGTAGATGGGTGGTCTGAATGAGGCTATATTTTGTAGGAAGCTTTGTGATGAAGTGTTTCCACCTCGGATGGGATGGTCGCCTGCATCCCTGCCAAGCTCCCCAACAATCTTTGCATTGTTGCCAATGAGCCTATCTCAGTTGGTACAAGCATGAAGTGTTGAAATCCAGACCCAGGATCGAATCCTGATGCAATCAGACGAACAGCATAAGGTAATTCTGAAGAAAAACAAAAAGTAACTTAATTCTGAAGGGAAAAAAAAGACTAAAAAGTAACTTTGCGTAGTTGTTTGCGAACCACTGTGATGATCCAGACAGGAGTGCAGACTCTTAAACCACCAGTTCACATGAGCCTAAGAAGTTCACGAAGCTATCTTCCAAGGCTCGCGAGCCTCAACTGCCTTTTTCCAAGTGGGCTGCCGCTTTCGCTACGCGACCAGGCCCTAATCAAAATGCTCTATCTGTATGCCAGTGAGAGCACTACTTAGGTTTGTGTGAACTGGTGGATTAAATGATTGGATTAAAAACAAAGGAAAAAAGTGTGAGGATTGAGCCCTCTAAAGGCCCCTTTTGGGCACACAGACGTTCTGGGCTTAGGCCCCCAGTAAGCCTCGTGCCCGCCGTAAGTGAAGGCGGGCCTGCTCATCCAGGTGAGGTCTTTTCACCATTTTTCGTATGTGGGTTACCAGACAGTTGCAGCACGCCAGTTGGTTACAGAGCAAGGTGAGCCTTCCCTGGCTCGTTCCAGAAGGCGGCTGCGTCGTACAGTTGAGCCCAGGGCTCCTTCGGTTGAGGCCCTGGGCGCATGCGTTCAGAGGCCTACAAGTCATGTAGTGGCCACGGACCAAGGAGAAAGCAGCTCCAGCATCACACACATGCCACGAGCCGATGAGACCGCTCCGAACACTTGGAGCCGCGTGGGCTACCAGAACGTGCCTAACTGCATGGGGCCCAGGCCAGTATTTGAAACTGGGCTTGGGCGCAGATACTTTGGGGCAACCTGAAGCTACTGGGCCCCTACATGCCAGACCCAGACCAGCCAGCGACCGGGCGCACTTTCCATAAGAAGTGAGCACACAGGGGCACTGCATTCTGGCTTGTGTGGGCAATGCGGCCACGCTGCTGCATTAGCGCACAAGTAATTGCGCTAGTGCTGCCGGCCAGACGCGCGCACGGGCGCAGAGGTGAGAGAGGGGCGCTGCTGAGGCAGTGGGCGCACGGCAGCCATAGCCGGGATGCTGGGTGCAGGCACGGTGATGGCATCGGTGCTCTTCGGCTAGGAGGCACATGCAGTGGGGAGACATGGTGTGATGAGGGGAGGAGAGAGAAACGTACCTGGTGTATGCTGGCGGTCTGCATTGGTGATGACGTCATTTACATTGGTCTTCAACTTCGATGTGATCTTGTTGCATGAACAAAGATAGGCTAGATAGGCTGAGTAGTGTAGGCTGGGTGCTGGGCGCCAATCAGTAGGAGCGACATTGGATACTATGGTGGTGTGGCCAGAGAGCGTCAGCATTGACATTTGAGCGAGCTCACTGTATTGCTCTTATTTGGATGATATCTTGGTGCATTGTGCTCTCTGCTGAGTGTGTTTGGTATATGACTATCTGGACTACAGCGTGATTTTGCAATTTGGATTTCTGTCTATCGCTCTCGCTCATATTCCTTGCAAAACAAAAGGCAGGCCAACTATGTCATGCCCCCCAAAAATGGTATATGACTATCTGGACTACAGCATGATTTTGCAATTTGGATTGCTGTCTATCGCTCTCACTCATATTCCTTGCAAAACAAAAGGCAGGCCAACTATGCCATGCCCCAAAAAAGTAATTTTGAAAACATAGGCTTCTGGCTTAACTTGAAAAAATCCTCTTTTTTTTATTTAAGTGAGGCACGGCACGCGAAATTATGTTTTCGCATCTTTTCGGCTCCACAGGTCCGGTTTTTCAGGCGTTATCAAGAGTAAACCGTTGCGTTTGGAGATCTGATCGGGACGGGTGACTCTGCTAGCAGAAAAATGGACCACTACATTGAGCAACCACTTTCCGCTCGAAAAGCCTGCTTGACGTCGGCTTCAAAGCTCTTCTGGGAGGCATGTGGTTATGCACTGCAGGTTTGGCCTTTGTGCGGCACTCCATGGGTCTTTGCCTGGACCATCCACGGGAACAGGTAGGCCTGAGGATTTTCTTGAAAAAAGACGTCGTCAAACCTAGTACCCAATTTGAGGGGCACTGAAATGGCAGCTGATCGCGGGGGAAGGCGGAGAACCAAATTTTTAGCCATTCTCGGCTGAATTCCCGAGAGGGAAATTTCCCATATTTGGCAGCGAAGCCCCGCTCAAATTGGAAAATTTATCTATCTAAGCCGGTGGAGCACAAGCGATGGAAGAAACAAGATGAAAAACTAGGAGAGTAGTGCTCGTTTCCGTAGGCTTCTGCCCTCCCTCTGACACCACGGGGCAGCAGATTCCAGCAAAAGACAGAGAAGAAGTCAGAAAATAGCTGGGCAAAGATCAGCCGGGAAGGGGAACAGCAAGGGCACGCAGGTGGTAGGGCGGGGCTTAAGAACTATTAAGTGATCCGGGGCTAATGGCACGTTACACCTGAGAGGAGGACAGGGCATCAGGCTTTGCGCTTTAGGCGAGGTGGCTTAGTCCGGTTGCAGGCTAACTTAGGCAGGGGTGAGAGATGTACCCTCTGGAAGAAATCACTGCCACCTACTCGGACCTCCCAGCCATAATGGGGAGGGGTGTGCGTGAGTTTCATTATTTAACTTTTTGACTTGCCGGTGGAATAGGAACCGCACTGTCGCTCCCCAGAATGGAAAGGAGCCAGAACCATAAGGTTCTGCTTGTATTAAACCACACACACACACACACACACACACACACACACACACACACACACACANACACACACACACACACACACACACACACACACACACACACACACACACACTGTTTCATGCTGCGCCTGCACACGAGGGCCATTTTCCAGGCCCTGCGTCCCTCAGGCTGAAAGCCTGAAAACCAGGGCCTACAGGCCCCGTGTTCATTCAGCTCGAAAGCCTGAAAAACAGGGGCCCACAGACCCTGTGTCGTTTCAGACTAAGACTGGCAGTAGCCTTTTTAGCCTGAAACGAAGGACCCTTTTCGGTTTGTTATCAGACCGACCTGCCCTGAAACTCAGGCACCAAACCAGGGTTTTAGGAAAAGGCTATTTTTGGCCTGTTCCCACGACAGCTGCAGCGCCAGACCCTGGCTCGGTTGGGCATTGGCAAGAGCAGCCTCCTGGGCTGCCCGCCCTGCAACTGCAGGCAGTCGGAGGCAGTCAGGAGGCAGGCCAAGGTAGTACATAGGGACTTCCCATGCACTTCACGGGTAGGCAGGAGGCAGTCAGTAGTCTTCAGGATTCAGCAGCAGCACTCTGGAGGAGCGCTGCAGGAGTAGTAGTATCGTTAGCTGTAGTCTTCAGCCCTGGGCGCCATAGCTAGAGTAGTACTAGAGAGAGAGAGAGATTGGGCGGAGGCCAGGGATACTTACCTGCAGCGCGTCTTCGAGGTACCTGCAGCACGGCGCCATCTTCACAGGTTAGTACCTGACACATGAGAGAGAGAGTTCTTCTTCTTCCTCTTCTCAGTGCACCATCTCCTTCTCACCCTCTCGCTATCTGACTTCACTGCATCAGCGAGAGGGAGAGAGAGAGCTTGGTGACATTTGGATCCAGACTCGACATTGGACTTCAGACATATCGAAGAGGGATTATTTGGGACTTGTAACGAGACTTGGTGTTGACGACTTTCCCATCTCCCCCTTCCTCTTCTTCGTCTGATCCCCTCCTCTTCGTCTGTGTATGTCTGGACCTGGCGCCTCTTCCTGTGTATAGCGCCAGGCCCCATCACACCTTATGATGAGCATGATGTATGTTTGGTCAGCGTCGAAACATTGAGTGGGCTAGTCCTTAGTATTCTAGCGTTCTGCTTCGCTATCTTATACTACGTGAAAGAGGTCAGTCCTGGTCAGGTCAGGACTTGTATCTAAAGTCTTCCCTGCGCTATAAAGCACCATTTTGTATGTATCGGAATGCACATTGCTTGTTGAGATTCCACTTGCACTGCATTGTCCATTCAGTCCTTTTTATCACATTGCGGATCCTCGGTTTATATGTACATCGCCCAACTGGGCATGTAACACACACACACACACGCACACACCAGAAACTGAATCTGATGGTTACTGAGGCCAGCTTTATCCATTAAAAATCAAGTTTTTTGGCGTGAAAACTCACTGTGACTCTCTCTGTCGCTGCGTCGG